ATGACCTAAGGCAGACACTATTTGCCTATAAAATAAAAAATGGAGGACCTGTAGGACCCCGAAGGGCTGCTATGCTCTGGCTGAGCCTTTCTGTATGCTGCTGTCTACTAAGTAACATTCTGTGGTTCCTCTAGGATCAAAACATCCTGACTAAGGCATGGTGCCCCAGGAAGGGAATTTACACTTGACATCCTATTGCCCCCCAGTTGAGTTCCTGTTTTTTTCCTGAGTTTGTATTTTTCCTTCCCTGGCTTGGTATATGTATTGAACCTGCTCAGTAAAAGCTTTGGCATTCTCTCATAATGGATGACCCAAGTCTGAGTCTTTCTTTAATCCCCCAGGCCTACACCCAAGTTCGGTATCACGGGCAGCACCGGAGCTGTCAGATGTCAGGAAAGGGTTAGCACTTCAAATATTAAATGTATATAAAGTGTTCAGAAATTGTCTTTGTGGAAAATAGCTAGTGATTTCACAGTTTATCTGAGTCCTGGTTGTACTTTGCCTGATGACACTAGGCAACTACAGCAGTGTGTTATCAATCATAATTTCAGTTTTAACTATTAATAAAAATACTTGGTCACAATATTTCATTCATTTTAATCTAGTATATTTTAGGTCACTGGTTTTCAATTAGATATCCACAGCAATGTTAGAATATTTTATTAGAATAAAGATTTTTGTTGAACCTGCTGGAGAATAACTAAATTTCTTTAGTTGATGTTATTGCTATTTCTTATATATTTGATGTACCTGTGGTATAGTATATAACTGTACTTTGTGTTATATTTCATGTTCTAATGTTTATGCATCTGTAACCATTGTATTCTATTCCAGTAACTTGAGAGGCTGAGTCAGGAAGATAAGAGGCTGTGGCCTAGAATAAACAGAAATTTAAGGCCAGTTTTTGCAACTTAATTAACAAGACTGTCTCAAAGTTATTTTTTTAAAATAGTATATGATAAAATTGAGGGCTGGGAGTTTTCCTCAGTGGTAGAAGGATAGTATAACATAGGCACGTCCCAAAGTTCAAACCCCAACAAAAGACAAAGAAGAGGAGGGTTCCATTTTTTATTTTGCTTTTTTATTTTTTGAAATTATAATAAAATTACATCTTGTTGAGTCAAAAGGTCACTTAGACCAAGCTGGCCTAACTTTCCACATGTAGCCAACAATGGCCTTGAATCACAATGATCCTGCCTCTGGCTTTCAAGTCTTCATTCTCAACAATTGAATGAATTATTGTCCTTCCAGTTATTTTATCAAAGAATGTTAAGTTACCTTTATCATTGGAATTGTCTCTGAAATTTTTCATTTGATACTATTTCTTTTATAAGAAAAAATAGATAATACAAGACATTGAAAATGAAGGAGGAACTTTGATTTAGTAACTGAAGCCTGGGCTAGATATGTAGCTCAGTGGTAGAAGACTTGTCTAGTATGTGCAAGGCACTGGGTTCAAACCACAGTAGCAACAAATCAACTGAAATGCTAACCACTTAACCAAAATTGTGGATCTATTCCTTGTCTCTGCAGCCCTCTTAACTTTATACCCGATAAGAGGAGTCATAAGTAAACAAGCTCTGCATGTTATGGCTCAGAGAATATAAAGTGATTTAAACCATGCTCTGTGACAGGTTGAATAGCAGCTCTCTCAAAAGATATATCTAATTCTTAATATCTTGGACTTGTGACTATCACTGTAGAATGGCCAAATAACAGATTCATTATGAATTTTGATTGGAGGACCTTGGACTGAATTATATGACTATGCCTGTGAAGCCTAGTAACAATGACGTGAGGCAGATGGAAATCTGACAAACATTCACAAAGGGAAATATTGTGAAAACTAAGATGAAATGTAAAGATGAAGTCACACATGCTGGAAGCTATGTGCAGCTACCAGAAACTAAGAGACAAGAGGCCATTTCTTCTTTAGCAACTCTGGAAAGAGCATGGCCTTGCTAGACCTCAGACTTTCAGCCCCCAGAAGTACATGAAAGTAAATTGCCGTTGTCTTAAGTTAGCAGGTTTGTGGAAGTTGTTTACATTAACTCAGAAATCTAAGATAGCACTCAAGACATCCTCCCCTAGAAGGTTTTAAAATCAAAAGGCCCTTGGTTCAGAATAGTTACTTCAAGATATGAGATGATATGAGATGATATTTTTTGAGTAAGAATGTAGACTGCTTTGGAAGGGGAGGTGAGGGGAAAGGGGAGCAGAAATAGTGTTTAATCCCTGAAGACTACACTTTACCTAGGATAGTTTGGTTAACTACCTCACAGCTACTTTTGTAAACTTCAGATGGCATGGAACCTAATTAAGTCCCTTGCTTTGAGTAGCATTCTTTCTATCACTGTTGTTACAAAAATTTGTCTGATTTGCAGTTTTAGATATGTGGTTTCCCATCATATCCATTGTTCCATCCATTGTTCCAAATTGTCATACAATAAGAAGTACAAAGAAATCTGAATACAGATTTAAATAATACTCAAAACATGGAGGTCCAAATAACTGTGGATGAGAAGCTGATACATCATTGTGACACCTTGAACAAGAGTGAAAATATGGAATGATTACACCAGGTTATTTTATTTTATATATAGGGCCTTACAGTACAGCCCAGGTTTGACTTCAACTTTTGGCAGTCCTCTTGTCTCATCCTCCTGAGTGCAATGACTGCCAGCTTGAGTCACCATGCCTGGCTTTCCACCCTGAGTTATTAATACTTTCTTCTTTAATTTAGGAAAAATCTACAATCCACAGGAGGAACTGAGAACAAAAACTGCCTAGCTGCACACCTCGGGTTCTTATACAAATTCAATATGAAAGTAAATTTACAAACCGAGTACAGGATTCTTTTAAAAATTAATATGGCTCATGATATTTGCTGAAATAAAACTTCCCTGGGAAATGTAAACATACTAGTTATTTGCCAGCATATGCTCTTGAGCCTCAGAATGCTGCCTACAGGATCATGTGAGGCCTCCACTTTATCACCACTTATTTTCAAATATACTGCAAACCTTCTGTCTTAGTTAGGGTTTTACTGCTGTGAACAGACACCATGACCAAGGCAACTCTTATAAGGACAACATTTAATTGGGGATGGCTTACAGGTTCAGAGGTTCAGTCCATTATCATCAAGGCAGGAGCATGGCAGTGTCCAAGGCAGGCATGGTGCAGGAGGAGCTGAGAGTTCACCTTCATCTGAAGGCTGCTAGTGGAAGACTCAATTCCAGACAGCTAGGAGTAGGGTCTTAAAGCCCACCCCACAGTGACACACCTACTCCAACAAGGCCACACTTCCAAATAGTGCCACTCTCTGGGCCAAGCACCTATAAACCATCACACCTTCTTTTTGTATAAGCTATGGCTCATTCAGCCTCATTAATTCCAGACAGACTTCCGTGGATTGGTACACTGGGGACTATGATGCAAAACATTATTTATACAGTTTTTAAACTGGTCAACCCAATTAGATCTTAAGGAATGATAATTTTGAGAACCATATTCTCAATGCAATACATTTTTCTTTTTACAATCTAAATAAAAGAGCCACATCTGGTAGGTATCTAAATACCTGCATTCAGAACTTAGAGGTATCTCAGAATCCACATCCTTAGGCATAATCATTTTGGTGGGAGTGGGGGAAATACTGGTGAGAGAAAGGGCTGAGTGTGTAGCTATGTGGTTGAACACTTGAGGCATGCCCAAGGGCCTAGGTTCAATTCCCATTATACACGGGTGTTTTAAACATGCAGAGCTTTGTTATTCTTCAAATAAATTACCATAACTTTCATAGCATTTATGTACCCTAGAGATGATTCATCTTGAAGAATGTGTGTAGATTATATGCAAGTTGTATATTTATATATTTTATATAAAGAATTTGGGATCCTGCCCTCAAGATTAATCAGAATTATTCTAGGGATATAAAGGCTTTTTTAAAAGCTGAATATTAAAAACAGGCTCCAAGATTTGAAATCTCTTGTCTAGAACACAGATAAAAAGTGAAGTACTAGGAGCCAAGAGCTCCATGTGATACCTAGTAAGTTGATTTAAGTCAAACTAAGTTCCATAATATCAACGGAAGCAGGGTTGCAGGACCTAACAGCAGGAATAGTATGTAAGTCTCCTTTGGGAGATAGGGAAGCCTTCACCAAGAAGACAGCGCTTGAGCTGGGGATTTAAGGATTAGCAGAGGAGAATAGCAGGACATTCCAAACAGAGTACAAGACGGAAAGAAAGCTCAGAACACAAAAGAACATTACAGCCCAGCAGCTCTGAGCAGCCTAGCTGCTTTATCAGGGTTTTTTGAAACGAGGTGACTTAAAAGTGAGGCAGGATTTTTTTTTCCTTCCTCACTCAATGGTCCATTTCTCTTACAGCTAGTTGCTTTGGCTGGGCACATCTACTGCAGGAGCTCAGTACAAGTAGAATCGAGACAGGGTGGTCCTGCGTGTTCAAGGGCACCTGGGATTTGTTTTTTCATATATTCCCTCAGTGTGACCTTGGCTAAGTCTCTAGTCCTAAGGGCTACAGTTGTAGTTTGGCCATCGTTCCACTCTAGTGTGCGAGTGGGAAGTACAAGAAGGAGGAGGAGGAGGCGGAGGTGGAGGAGAAGGAAGAGGAAGAGGAGGACGACGTCGGTTTGGCTGAGGCGTGGGCCCTTCAAGCATCCCGGAATCCCAGACCACGTAGAGCACCGGCCGGTTGGGTCGCCCTGGGCTTCAGCCAACGACATTCAGTTCCTCCTCCACTCCGGCAGGGGGCAAGGGCAGCGGTTCCGGTGGCCCTGGAGCTGGCAGCGGCCGCGGGGCGGACCGAAGCCGCAGCGGCCAAGCGAGCGCAGTGGGCGGGGCGGCCGGGCCGGGCGGCGGCGCCGCAGTGACTCGTCGGGCTTGGCGGCGGCGGCGGCGGCGGCTTCCGAGGTTTCAGAGGAGCGGATTGTGTGGTCGGTGGGCTGCTGCGGCCTCTCAGCGACCTTTGTGCAGAGCCCTTCCCTCCTCGGGCGGCTGCGGTGGGCACACCCGGGGGCGGCGGCCACCGCGGCCAGGTTAGCGTGGGGGAAGGGGCGAGCGCCCGAGTAGCCCATCTGCAGCCAGTGAGCACAAGCCGGCCCATCTCCCACCATGTCCGACGAGGCGTCGGCCACCACTTCCTATGAGAAGTTTTTAACCCCAGAGGAGCCCTTCCCTCTCCTAGGAGCCCCTCGCGGAGTGGGCACCTGCCCCAGCGAGGAACCTGGCTGCCTGGACATCAGCGACTTCGGCTGCCAGCTCTCCTCCTGCCATCGCACGGATCCACTCCACCGGTTTCACACCAACAGGTAAAGGAGCTCTTCCCAGAGCAGGGGCAGACTTCCCACTGCCAGGCTGGGCAGGAGGACGCCAGGTTGCGCTCCTGCCGGGAGCTCCTGGTCCCTCGTGCAAGCCTGAGCTGCGGGCTGCCCCCTCCCCCATCTTCCTTTGACCAAGGCTCTTCCCAGCTCCTCCCTGTTTTCACCCCCTGCCCTCTGGTTTTTCTTAAAACCAGCTTCCCTACACCTTCTTTCTTCACCCCCTTTCCTTTTTGCACTCTAGTAATTCTTCCCGTCCAGATTGTTTCCTTTTACCTCTTCGTGACCCCCGCCCCCATCGGTACGCTGAGAATCCTAAACCCCAACTCTTGATTTTTAGATTCATCTGCAAAAGTTGAACCCCTTTCATTTCCGGTTCACTACAGAGTAAATTTGAGAGAGCCCCAAATCGATCAGTGGATCTTATGAGAGCACTTTTCAAGCTTGAACCTCCTCTTTCTCAATTTTAATCTCACCCTAAACCAGATTGTACCGGAAAAATTAGTCTTTTTTTCCATTGTTGCTTTGAGACCAGTATCTTTCATAGATTAGACTATCAGCAAAACTGCTTATGCAGTGTCGATGACCTTGAACTCCTGGTCCTCCAGCCTCTGCCTCCCAAGTATTCGGATTACAGACATTTGTGATGTCCAACTAAGCTTACTGTATTTTAATCAGTTCAAATTTACAATTTTTTCAGTACTATGGCTTGAAACCAGAGCCTCACTCATGCGAGATAAGCCTTCTACCAACTGAGCTATATCCTTACCCTATAAACTAGCCATTTTCCCCCTTCCTTTATGAACACATTGCCTTAATTCTGTATGGTATCCCAAAATGTTAACTCTGGAAGAGTTCTTCCTATAGCATACCACCCACCTTGCATCCCTGGTGAGGGACGTAGAGCAAGTTTACAGTGGACTGATTTATACAAATAGTTTCTTAAAGGTGTTCATCTAAATTATTTTATTGGAAGGCAGTGTTCTGGAGAATTCTCTCATGCAAGCATTTAAATGTTATATCTAACGTGGACGATGTGACAGGGATTTTCAGTATAGCCTCAACTTTTAAAAATAATTTATTTTAAATTGTGTGCAAATCAGGGCTGGGTATGTGCATGAGACTGCAGGTGTCTATGGCGGCCAGAGACATCAGACTCCCTGGAAATGGAGTTACAGGTGGTTGTGAACAGGCTGGATGTGGATGCTGGGAACAGAATTTGGGTTGGCTGCAAGAACATTATATGCTCTTAACCATGGAGACATATTTCCAACCTCTGAACATACACTGGTAGAGAATGGATAAGAGATGAGGAAAAGGGTCCATCTAAAGATAATAGAAATAAGGAATCTAGTTCTGGTTTCTGGTCCAAGTTTGCTATGTGAGTTTGGTCATATCCTTCCATATTTTTGCATATATTCCCCTCCTAACCTTAAAACAGTTTCTCTGTACTGTGTAACCTATGCATTTACATATATAGTGTCATTTTAAAAGGTAAATTTATAGTTTTGGAAATAAAATGTTATAGCTAAATAATTATTCAGAATACCAGGGCAACACATTTTACAATGAAGTGACAATGACTTTCTTACAAAATTCCAAGGGCCCCAGAGAGAAAGGCCAAGTAGGAAATTCATAATACCTAGTCAGGTAAAGGCCTTGCAGACATAGATTGCTCTCTTGGAGCCAGAGATAAAATTTGGATTTCCGCTAAAGGATCTAATGTTATCAGTGGTCACAGCACTTTCTTAAACTAAGAGAAGCATCCTTAGCTCCTGAAGTAATGAACATGCATACAAAATTGAAATGTGCTTAAGGTATTTGACATTTGAAACAGGAGACAATGTTACATACACAGTAAATTGAGATAATTTCAGAATTCGTTGTCTCCTGTGATTGATTTAGGGTAATCAGCTGGTTGAGAGGTTGGGGGGTAAGCACTGCCAAAATCTGGTGATTAAGGGTAAGAGATTGGCTGGGAGGTCAAGGGGCTAGAGTGATGGCTCTGTGGTACTGCTTTCACAGAGGACCCACATTCTGTTCTCAGCATCCAAGGATTTTTTTTCTTGTACAACTTGTCTGTCATCTGTTTTTAGCCCTAAAGACTCTTTTAAGGTCTAGGCTGATTTTTCAGTTTTCCGAACTCAAACATTATTTCTCCTACCTACTGTCTGTTTATTTAGTTGTTTTTGTTTACTTCAGACAGGGTCTCATTCTGTAGTCTAAGCTTGTCTTGGACTCACTGTATAACCAAGGCTGGGCTGTTAATTTGAGACAATTCTGTCCTGGTGTTCTGAGTGCTAGGATTGCAAGAGCTGCCAAACCCGGATTGGCTGTTTTATTTCAAACCTCCCTTTCCATCAAAAAATAAAGGAAGAGAAGTTGGTAATAGATATACAATTGATGATGTTTTTGTCTTAGACTATCTTGTTTTAAATTTATTGTTGTTCTTGTTGTCAGTGTTATTATTATTGATATTTTTGAGTCAAGGTTTCTCTATGTAACAGCCCTGGCTAGCTGTCTTGGACCTCTCTGTAGACCAGGCTGCCCTGGAACTCACAGAGATCCACCTGCCTCTGCCTCCCAATCTGCTATTATTATTATTATTATTATTATTATTATTATTATTTTCATGTGTATTTGGCTAGAGGTTTGAGATAGTGTCTCATGTAGCCAAGAGTGGCCTTTACTTTGTGGTTCTTATATCTTTGTCTCTCCCACAAATCTAGACTGCTGGCATGGTAACCTATGTCACAGATGAGAGTCATCCTGAGGGGACATTAGTGTACTGGTGCTGTGACTCCCTGAATTAATGAGAGTGTAGATACAGCCTGGTATCTACAGGTGTTGAGATTAAAGGCATATATCACTAAATCTTTTCTTTTCTTTCCTTTCTTTCTTTTCTCTCTTCTTTTCCCCTTCCTTCCTTCCTTCCTTCCTTCCTTCCTTCCTTCCTTCCTTCCT